TAATTTGCCCACTCCTGTGCTAAGTACTAGGTCACAATTAACTTTTTTAGTGAAGACTGAGGCAAAAGAGACATTAAACATCTCAGCTCTTGGTGTTGTCCATTATTAGCTCTCCTTCTCCGATAAATAGCGGACCTACACTTTCCTTTGTCTGACTCTTGCTCCTAAGGTATTTATAAAACCTCTTCTTATCACCTTTTATATGGCTAGATGTAACTCATGTTATGCCTTAAACTTTCTAATTTTATATCTACATGCTTGTGCTATTCTTTGGTACTCATTCTTAGCAATTTTTCCACGTTTCCACCTTTTGTAGGATTTCTGTTGGATTTTCAGGTCATAAAAATGTTCCTGATGTGGAATACAAGGGATGTTGTTAGACTACACAGAATAAGAAAAGACCAAGAGTAAATGCAGATACTTTGAACAGACCCATTTAACAGAGTGGACTAACTGTTCCATATATTTTATGGTACTACAAGACAGCCAGTTTAAAGCAGTAGTGGATTGTGTGTGTTCTAACCCAACCAAAGACTGGGTCTCTCTATTGAACAAGAAAATTGTGGCCGTATAAATATCACTAGACTCCCAAGAATTAATTAAAAAACCCACCCTCCAGAAATTTATACACGTCCTTTAGCAAAAGCTACTTCATGAATTTGGGATAGAACTGGAGATAAAGTAAGTTATTTTTCCTTGCCAAGGACAGACATTGCAAATAATCCAGATCATAATCCAAGTCACAAATCAGAAAGCTTTAAAGATTGAGAGTGCCATGGAATACAAATGATTGGCCAACTATTCTGTAAAGAAACTTTTCTAACCTTTTTAGAGATCAAAACTAACTTTTACTGGCCCACTCTCCTATTGTACTTGAACTTTCAAGTTGGGCATGTTTCTCAACTGTCTAGAAAAGCTGTTTTACAAAGAAAGCTAATGAACAGGATGGTATTTGGAAACGAAAAATTGTAACTCATTTACATCAATCTTTGCAGACAACTTTTGTAATGAAAAAAAAAAAAAGTCCATAGATGAAACACTTGGAAAAGAATCTGGATAGACAAATTACCACAGAGGAATGGGGTTTGATCTGGAAAAGGGGACCAGAAACCAGAGTCTGTAGCACAATAAAAGAAAATGTCTTTCAGATATTGTTTCAATGGTACCTCACATCAATTAAGTTTAAAACAAATAGAGATTAAATGGGATAAATGTTGGAAAAATTGTGGTGAAACAGCAGATTTTATGCATATATGTTGGTTGTGTCCTGTCATTAGTGTATTGGGATGCAATTTGTAACCAAATATCACAAATGATTGGACATTTATTACCAAATGATCCTTTGGTAATCCTCCTGGGGCTTCCTAGCAGAAATAGTCACACAGAAGGAAATGAAGCATTAATCTCACATCTGCTAGTAGCTGCTAGGCTACAGATAGCCTCCTATTGGAAAAAGAACAATAATCCAACTCTACAGGAATGGTTCCAAAAAAATATGGGAGGTGGTTGTTATGGAAAAGTTAACACAATGATGTACCCAGCAAAACAGTAAGAGCACAAATAGATGCTGAGATATCTGATTACCTTGTACTCAATACTCAAAGTACATTGACCTGCAAAAAAAATCCCAGCAAAACCATCTGATGTTCCGTTTTTTCAGTATTAACATTTGATAGCCATGCCTGGTCTGTTAAATGTATGCAGAGACTTTCCTCAATTTAACAGAATCACTATAAACAACATGTCGGCATAATGTAAAGATGGTCACTCTGCATCTTGGTAACTCCTTGTTAAACAGAGATCCAATGATTTAAATGTTTCTCTAAACAAAAGCTCACTGTTGTAATGATTGTTGTATTGTGTCTGATATTTAGATGGCCAAGATTTGTAAACTTGTTAAAATTTTCTAAATAAACAAATAGTTCAAGAGTTCCTTACAGCCATATTGGCCTCTTACTATTTTTCTTCACATCAGGATAGTTTGCTGTTGTACCCTAAATATTGTTTTTCAGCAACTGCCAACTCTCCCAAATTCCTTTTCCCCTCTTAGGTTTTCTTCCCATGGGATCTAATAGTTCTCTCAGTTTGTTAAACTCTGCTTTTTTTAAATCCACTGTCTCTATTCCACTGCTCTTACTCCTTCCTTTCCGCAGATGATGAAATCTCTCATTTCACAATCACTTTTACCAAAGCTGCCATCCATCTTTAGATTTGTAACCAACTCCTCCTTGTTGGTCAGAATCAAGTCTTAAATGGCTATCTCCCCATTTACTTTCTTCACCTTCTGAAACAAGAAGTTGTTCCCAACACATTCCAAGAACTTATTGTGTTTTCCCATATTACTTTTCCAGCAGATATCTAGGTATTTGAAATCCCGCATTACTACCACGTCTTGTGTTTTGGATATTTCTATTATTTGTTCTAGAAATTCCTCATCACCTCCTCTTCCTGATTTGGTTGTCTACAATAGACCCGTACCATGACATCACTCCTGTTTTTTCCACCTTCTATCTTCATCCAGAGACTTTCAACTGGGCCGCATCCCACCTCCTCCTGGACCTCAGAACAAGTGTATATATTGTTGATGTATAGTGTAACAACTGCTCCTTTTTCCCCTGCCTGTTCTTCCTGAACAAGCTCTCCCCTTCTATGCCAATACTCCAGCCATGAGATTTATCCCCCCAAGTCTCTGTGATGCCAATTAAGTCATAATTTAGCTTTTGTAATTAGACTTCCAGTTTTTCCGTCTACTCCTCAGACGCCTTACATTTGTGTACTGACATCTAAAATGTTGAGCAGATTCCCCCAATGTTTTCCTTCTTGTTGCTCCTATTGACCCTACTGTAATCTTCCATTTCATCCCCAACTTCCAGCCCCCTGTCAAGGTAAAAAAATATATATTTTTTTTAAATACTTACCCGTTGGTTTTTGTCACCTGCCCCCTTTGAACCTAGTTTAAAGCCCTCTGCACTAGATTGGTGAGTTGGTGTCCCAAAATGCTCTTCCCCTTCATCAGATGGACCCCATCTCTTCCCAGAAGTCCTCCTCCAGGGAACAGAATCCCATGATCAAGAAAGCCAAAGGACTCTTGTCGGCATCATCTGCGTAGCCATGCATTCATCTCCACAATGCATCTGGCCCTTTCCCTCAGCTGGCAGGGTGCACAAGACCGCCACCTGTGACCCTGACTCTTTCACCCTCACTCCCAGAGACCTATAGTCACTACTGAGCTGCTCAGGGTCATACCTGGCAGAATCATTAATGCCCACGTCTCTGTAAACAAATATGGATGAAATCAAAATGTTAACACTAGAGTCCATCTGTCAAAACACACTCTACACTCAAGTTAACTTAATTCTCAAATCATCAGCTTCTGGTTTGTTTACACTTGTATGGATTTAAGATCTTATATCTGACAATTATTTTGAAGGCACGCATGCTTTAAAATATATTCTTCTCTGCTTGCATTTTGTGCTCATTAGTCTTCAGATGTATTATTGAACCAAAATATCTCAAATCCAAGCTTATGTCTCCCCCATTGCCACAAAGAAAGGCATCCTGAAGATGGACTGGCACAAACACTATGGAGGAGGACATTTTCCTCAAGGAAACAACTATAAGTAGTAAGAGGCTATTGCTGGAGTGTTTCTTTCAAGTAGGGAGGGAGGAGGGGTGTGGGAGAGGACCATAGACTTTCATATGGGGAAGTTTCCGTAAGTTCAGATAAATATCCAAACTTCTAGATGTTTATCCAAACCATAGATCTCCTTAGGCCTTGAATTAGGATATGGATATGAAAACAACTGAAAATTCACCAAAATGCACACCCAATCTCACTGGCAGACCACAGTTCCCCTTCTCCTTCACCCTAACTGGTTTATTTGAAAAATCTTTCAAGGAAAATGTTACAAAACACTGGCAACAATTCTTGGGCACAGCGAATAAAGTGTTATAAAACCACCCACCAGAATGTAAAGCCTTGGTAAAGCCTTAGTTTGAAAACATACATTTCTATGGAAAAACAAAATGATTATTTAGTGGGTAGCTTTGGTGGGGCAAGATGAAAAAAGTGACTTTGAAAATGCCTGCTATTGTACATGGCTAGTCAGTTTAGCTGTTAATTCTCAGCCGAGCGCCCAAAAATTCAACAACAAAGAGGAAAAAAAAATTGTAGAAAAAAAATCAGTTTGGGCATCACTGAATCCTACCCAACGACCTTTAAACAATCCTCCAAGATACCAATGAGGTTAAAACAAAATGTACTGTATTCACCAGTATATTTTGCAATACTACAAAAAGTTTAAAACCTGACATGATAAAATCAATATCAACACAAACATATGTTCACGAAGGAACATTTCAAACAAGCAGAACATGTAATAGAAAATTATTTTAAAAATTAGCCTTAGCCACTTTGTATAATTCACTCTTCCAAATTTAACTGTAGATCTTTAAACCATCTAAAAACTTGGCAGCAGCTTTACACACATTTTATGGACAGTGTGTTACTCAAGCTGTACGTAGTAGAAGTATTTATTAAGCTTGGGAAACCTAAGTAAATTCTGGTAATAGCAGTCCAAGATCAAAATATTTTATGACTGAAGCCAAGTTTTCAAATGTTGATGCCTTAATAGGACACCAAAATCTTGCCTTTGAAGACTCAAATGATCAAGAAACATGTTCTCTGTATTTGGACTTCAGGCAGAAATTCAGTCAGTAATTTATCCATTCATTTATTTCCCCAGTGTATATTATTTACTGTCTCTCACTGGTTTAGATTTTGAGCTCTGAATTTTCTATCTAAATAAAATAAATACATAAAATAAAAATAAACCATTTACTATTGTCAGCATGTCAATAAATAATACCATTTTACTGAAAGTTGTTGAAATTAAAAACAAGTGTGTACATTAGTTGTAAATATGACTGACTCATGGCATTGAACCAGAGCTTCATTATTCAAAACGAAACAAACAAGAACATATAATTTTTGAAAGTACCTGTAGATTTTCTAACGGAGTCTTTTTTGCAAGTTGGACTTCTTTTTCCATCTGTCCATTTTTCTAGAACAAGCTTTTCCTCTCTATGTATGTCCATATGGAAACTTTCAGAATTCTTCTCAGTCTCAACTTCTTTGCAGCTTGGTGTACAGTCTCCACTGTCCACATTTTCATTATTATTGATATTGTCCTGCTCAACCTTTTCATGCATTCCCATTGCACTGTCACTGCTGGTCAGGACCTCACTCCTATCACCATCAAGCTGATTTTCATTTTCATCAGATGAAGAAGCCAAACGAGTTCCCACATTTCCCACACTGTCACCAGCAAGAAGTCTGTCCTTTAAGTCTATCAGTAGATCATTGGAAGGAAATTCTCCGTCATCCATTAGAGCACCCCTTGTTGAACAGCTTAAACTCTGTCAAAACGATTCTTAAGTCTAAAATATAAAATCAGAAAAAATATTAACAAATATGGAAGAGAGGGTCTTTATGTCTAATTTCAGCCAATATAGAATTAAGCTAGCCAAGGTATGTATTCCTGAAAAATTTTAAGAGGCCCTTAAATACAGCAGCACTACTGCCACATCACAACACATATAACAAAATTTCTCTACATGTTAAAACCATATTAATGTACATTGTCAATACTGGTCTGGAAGACAGGAGGCTACATTGTGGGCCTTTTTACTGGAATCAATTATATATTTGTATGTACATGTGTGTCCTCCACAGTAGTATTCACAATATTATCAGTAACTAGGAAATAAACTCCTTATCTAGATTTTTAAACAAATAAAATGAAACAATTTTTGTTGAATAAAGAGATGTGGTTCGGCTGAGGTAAAAAAAGGCCGGTGAGAAATAAAAATGGTGGGAGACAAACAAGAGAACTCCTATTCTGCCATACACAATATCACTTCAGATATGCAAAAGAGCACTGTTACAACAGTTAAATATACAGGAAAATTGTTTACTGAATTAAATTATCACATTGTTTTCAAGAGAGCATTAAACGTATTTTCAGCACACAAAGCAGCAGATGGAGCTTTAAGAAACAAACCCCTCCCCCATAACTCAGGTAAATTTTGCCTTTTTGTGCATACATAGTTTCAATGAATGCTGAAATTAAATTGATATGTGCAACAAGGCAAAAGTAGACCCCAACAAGAGAAAGTTGTACTGTTCTTACTGAGGTAATTCTACATTTGTATTGACTGCTTACTTCTTTGGCTTTTACAAGCATCACGGTGCTGATGACCTAAGTTATCAAACCATCATAATGATGCATCACTCCAATACATACACAGTATAAAAATAATCTGAAGTGTTTAAGTAATAAACCTAAAAATGCACTGCACACTTGTATTAAAGCAAAGTTTAGAAAAACTTCCAAACATTTTAAGGACAAAAAAAGAAGAAGACATTTTACAGAACAAGCCGTAAGCAGAATATTTTATCCAGATTTATGTAATGGCCCTAAAGAAATCAACATTTCAGATGAAATACAGACTTAATAAAGTGTGCTTGTGATTTTGTTTTGCTTTACTTTTAAGTACTTTTCAGTGGAACAAAAGATTGAATGGCACCTAAGGAACCCTAGATTTAAAGAGAACACTGGTAGGGTCAAATTGCCTGGCACAAGGAGTTGTAAATACTGCCATCATGTGCCACCAAGACCTCATGCACACCACTGAGTACTGAACCTGAGGGAAAGGAGGTAGTTTGCTAACTGTCACCTGCCCTTTAGGCACTCTCAATGGGGGGTGGAGGGAGGGAAGAAAGGAGGGCAAAAAGCAGATGACCATAGGCAGTAGAGGCTACCAACGGGATTATGTTGAAGCACCATATACACCAGGCTACCAATTCTTAATTTGTAATGAAAGAGGTGCTGGGGCTCAAGCAATTTTTTTTTACAATCATAACTGATGCAGCAAACCCACAGCTAGGATGCTTTTGTTTGCGTGTAACCTTTAAGCTGAACCCCAGGAAAGCTATTTTGGGTGCTTAATTTTTTGGAATTGCTCTTTTAAAATCTAGCAAAAGGCTAAATTCCAGATTTCTTTTCTTCCTTTTTGTTTTTAATAAAATTTACCTTTTTTAAGAACAGGATTGGATTTTGGACGTCCTAAGAGGTTTGTGCATATATTGTTTGATTAGCTGGTGGCAACAGCTAATTTTCTTTGTTTTCTTTCTCAGCTCTTCCCCAAAGGAGGGGTGTGAAAGGGTTTGAGGGTACCCCACTGTGAGGAATTCCCAAGTGCTCCTTCCTGGGTCCAAGGGAGTTTTTTGCATTTGGGTGGTGGCAGTGTTTACCAAGCCAAGGTCAGAGAAAAGCCGTAACCTTGGGAGTTTAATACAAGCCTGGAGCAGAAAGTATTAATTTTTAGAATCCTTGTGGGCCCCCACGTGAGCTTAAAGGGTTACAAGCAAACAAAAGCATCTAGGGTTAGCACAGAGAAGTCCACAAGCCTTAAATATAAACAGAAATAAACCTAATCACGTCTTTCTAAACATTCCTAATTTACTTAGATACTTGGGTTGTTAAAAGTAGTTCTAGATATGATTGGATGATTTTCATATCTGGTTTCAAACTTTACAGAGTATTCCTGGTGCCCCGTCTCTTCAGCTCAGAGAGAACAACCACAGACAAAGGGAAAGTTTTTTCCCCAGTTTTTAAAGTTCTAGCCTTCCCATTGGCTCTTTTGGTCAGGTGCCCACTTTCTTTTCTTTACCTTGGGGACTTTTTAACCCTTTACAGGTAAAGCAAGTAGAGAACAGCTACCAAGAAGGATTTTACAGCTAACTGGCTGGCTGCGTGTCCATCAAAGGGAGCTACCCCGCCCTTCATTTATCACAGGGGCTATGAACTGCCAAGCCTACAGGTACAGGAGCTCAGCTGTAGCAAACCCTGGCATAAATTAAGCATTGAGGCTACCCTAATTACACCTGGCCTTCTAGGCAATACTGCTCACGTTTGGTTCAAGCATTTTCCATTCTGTCCAAATAATTCCATCTATAACCATCTGCTTTTCTTTTGGAGACAAGGCCTCCAGAAATCTTCTGACAGGAAACATCCTTAAATACGTTGTTGTCAAAGAACTACTGTATGCTTCTAGCGCTATTAAACATTATTTACAAAGCCAAAAGAAATTTTGAATAAAAATAGAATATTCAGTCAACCATATTGCACACAAATAAATGAAAGCTAGGAGATTTGTTCATGCTGTTAGAAAGATTTGTTACAGAGCAAAATAAACATAAGCTTAATAAAACTTGAAAGAAGCCATTCTTAGGGCTGGTCTTCACTACCCGCCTGGATCGGCGGTAGAAAATCGATCTCTCGGGGATTGATTTATCACGTCTCGTCGGGACGCGAAAAATCGATCCCCGAATCGACGCGCGTACTCCACCAGCCCAGGTAGGAGTAAGCACCGTCGACGGGGGAGCCGCGGCGGTCGATTTGCTGCCGTCCTCACAGTGGGGTAAGTCGAATCAGATACGCCAAATTCAGCTACACTATTCACGTAGCTGAATTTGCGTATCTTAAATCAACCCCCTCTCCCCCTTAGTTTAGACGTAGGCTTAGAAGTGTCCTGATTCTCAGAAAAGCTAACAATTTGGAGCCTGTATTTGTGGCTACCAGAAAATGAGATTTTTTTGATAGTTTATGCTCTACCTTCATAATTTTCTTGCCCCTCTCCCCATTTTCCCTACATTTTCTTAAAAAAAAAAAGCTTGCTTGCACTTTTGACCAGCCATCTTGATTAGCTTATTTTAAATACCTTGCCCTTTTTGCAATGCAAGTTTTGTCGAACAATTGCCATGCTTGTAGCCTAGGTTTCCTTAGAAAGTGGTTATTTCCCCACACTTCTTAGATATTCACGGGCCACTTCATTAATTGCTTTCCTATAAGTTTTTCAATAGTTTTCAACAGACTTACCCATATAAAAAACCTCCCACAGCATTTGGAGATTGTGAAGCTGGGCAAATGCCAGGAATGTTATGGTGGCCAGTTGCCAAGGAAACTCATAAGATACACATTCTAGAAGTTTTACGGAGAAGGTGCATGTAAGGCTAGGAACACACCATCAGTTTGGTCGGTGCCAGTTATTCCTTTGCTTTGAAAAAGGAGAATTTTACTTTTCTTGTAAATTGGTCATCTTTGAAAAGTGTTGTACATCTGTCAATGCTGAAAGGTTAATGAGTTGTCAGTCAGGCCCACTTGGGTGGAAAGCAGATCTATGTACTTTTTTTTTTGGCATCTAAACTTATAAAAATGTCATTTTTTGCCATGCATTTCAAAAGCAAAGGAAAGATCTGAGGGTGAAGGAGGTAGCTCAGAGATGATGATTCTGTACATCTAGTGGGAAGCACATTGTTCAAACACATTTAGACCTTAAAGAGAAATAATGCTGAAATGAGGAGTTAAAACGGGAGAACAAGAAACAAAACAGACCAGAATGAATAGGAAAAGTTACTAAAAAACACTAAAAGAAGAACAGGAGGACTTGTGGCACCTTAAGAGACTAACAAATTTATTAGAG